TTATTTGTCTATTTGAGATTGTTGGAGCAGTTCTTAGTGTGGGCTTAATTTCATTTTTCTTTACTGCAATTGTGCAATTTAGGAAGCAGAAAGTATACCAAATGATGACAGTAATCACTATTATATCCATAGAAAACGGGCTGCAGGTTGCTAATACGTTTCCGTGTAAATATGACAATCTATCGCCTTTTGCCATTTGGCCCATTTCATCCTTGCATACATTTTATCATAAAATGATGTTCACTGCTCTAAAATTTGTCGTCTTTCTCCCAACTTTTATAGAGCTTGGAAGATGAGATAATAAGTGAAAGGATTATGAGATTAGTGAGTTTGGACTGTTGGCATAGCCTATCATACGGCGTTTTCAGGTATCTAAGCTTCATAATATTACCAGTTTTATTCGAAATCCTTTATTCTATCACCTTTTGTGAAAAAATTGATATGTGCTATGCTGTATAAATCATGTCGTATATTTTATATTTTGTTGTCTGACATATGTTGGGATCTGGTTTGTTCCCATGTACCTTAGATGGAACTTTGTCTCAATGAGAATTTGATAAAAAAATGGAGAAGGATTGCAAAACGAGCCAAATATGCGATCAAAAGTGGGGAAGCATTGGATCACTCAACCAGGGTGGAATCGTATTGTGAAAGATTCATGGAGTTCCTTATTGATCTTTTCAGCCAGTTGCCGACAAGGAGGTATATTTGTCGGTGCTTATATGCCAATTTCCTTTCAATTAAGCTCGATTATAATGGGATTGGTTTATCTTAAACTTATTTTCATCACTATTGTCTATTCTTTAATGAGTGAGTGGCTGCACTAACTATTCTGATGTATTCTTGTAGGTTTAACCTTGGTTCTGCTACTTCAACTTTTTTCTGTACTTTGTCTTCATCCCTTTTTGGCCCATGTCACGAATATTTTAAACTTTTGTAGCGCCCGGATTTTCATAAAGTATTTTTTTTAAACGAGCACTAAAGAAATTTGAACATGTGCACCAAAAATAAACGTTCTAGTTTTTAAAATAAAAGGTCACACTAAATAAAATCATTTTTCACTACGCTCTCTGATATAAATAAATATTAATAAAAAATTTAGTACGAAAGCCAAAGCCGAAACAATTAAAAAAAGAACTTTTATTTTGGATAAACGAAGCTTCTTGAAATCATTTGAAAGCTAATAAACATTCCTAGGCAAATATCTGGTGTAGCCAAGTTGCATATAACCTAGTGGCATTGCCAGGCTTAGCTCTATCGCTCTCCAAGATGATTTCCCCCCATATTTGTACTGCACCATTGGTGATTTTCTATGCTGGGGACTTTTGTTGACCACTGTTTACTGTTAGTAATTGTCTTTTTTATTCGTGTTGGTAGGAGTTACTGGCACCTAGATCTTCTCTATTGAATGATTTCCAGAATGTCATTGATGTCCCTAATAGATTTATGATCATGATTCTTACTAATTTCTACTATCCTTTTTTATGACAGATTAGTTCGGCCTCTTGTTTCTAATGTTGCTATTGTTTCCAAATGTCATTGAGCTCTATATAAGAACGAAAAGGAGAAACTCTTTGCGCAGTTGGTTGACCTGCTTCAGTATTATGAAGGTTTCGATATTGATGATCATCAAGGTCGACAAATGACTGATGATGAGGTGCTTCAAGCGCATTATAAGCGCATCCAGGCTTTTCAGCTATTCACATTTAAAAAGATTCCTAAGGTTTGTGCGTAACTACAGAATTCCAGCCATGATATATTTCATGTGGAAACTTCAGTCTACCTTTTGACTCAGTTGGGGAAGAAATATACTGTAACCCATTTTATATTTTCTTTTTGTAGTTGCGAGAGCTTGCATTGGCTAACGTTGGGGCGATTAACAGGCGGAGTGACCTTGCCAAGAAACTTTCAATTCTTTCTCCTGGAGAGTTGAGGGATTTAGTATGTACTAAGGTCACATCTCTTTTATTTTTATTTTTAGATCAAATTAATTTTAATCATTTTATTTTAATACAAACTCAAAATTCTACTCAAATTTTACCCAATCAACTTTTCAAAATTAACTCTAGTTATCCAACAAATCTANCCACATAGCCTAGTATTCAGTAGGCTATTTAAATAAATAGGCCATCGGAAAATCCTCGCGCGATCAACAATTAGAAGATGATTTAAAAAATGTACTGACCGAATTATTTATATACTTATACAACAACTAGAAGATGATTTAAAAATATACTGACAGGATAATTTATATACTTATACAATATTCGAATACTGAGTAATTGTTAAGAAAATTATATTTAAAATTAAATAATAATGACAAAAATTATTTTAGTTTTTAAATACATTTTTTTTAAAAAAATACGTATTATTGTTTAAATTTAAAATGACATCGTCACTTATACGACTTAACATCTTATATTATAATTTTTTTTAATTTATATGAGAATTACTTTGTAGTTAAGTTAGTTTAAATAATTTTATTTTTTTGGATTAATATATAAAGTTAATTTAATTTTAATTATAAAAATAAATTAACTTATTTATTTATTTATTTATTTTATGTATAATATATATATATCAAATCGAAGTTCATCAAGACATGATCAATTTGACATATTATATATAAAAAATTGTTAGTAAATAAAAATTTATTAACTTTTAAATTTATTTGTGATTTAAGTTAGTAAATATTCTAAACCTAGTCACTTTTGAATTGAAAATAAATTAAAATTCACTCAAACCAAACAACAAAGCTTAAGAATTTGCCACATAGGATCCCAAAGTGTGTTAGTATATCACTTAGACTCAGTACATTCGAAAATTATATATAAAGAGGATGGCGTGATGTTTAGCCAATGAGCTTAAAACGTGTACCATAATTCATCCACATTAGTAACTAAATCAAATAGGGCAATCAGTGTATTTTTTTTTTTTTTTATAAATGTAAAAATTTATTATAATAGTTTTGACAAGATAAAAAATAAAGTATATTTGAAGAAAATGAATGTAAATTTTATTTTTCCAAGCAATCACATCCTCCCTATATATAATTGTCGAATATGTTGAACCTAAATGTAGGCTCGCATGTTTCGGGATTCAATGTGTCAAATTTTCATGCTTTATGATTTGGCTTGGATAAATTTTAATTAACTCAAAATCTAAACATAATTAAGTTTGAATAACCATAAATATAGTAGATATTTATGGTCATTTTTAGAGCATTAATTATGTTACATTTCCTATTCTAGACGTAATTTATAAGGTATAAATTTTTGTCCTCAATATTTTTTTCCTCTTAATTATTTTAAAATTATAAAAAAATTGCTTACTTAAATTATAAGTAGATTTATAAGTTAATATTATTTTTTAATTATTCTCATTTTTTATACATAATATATTAAATTTATCATGTTTTAATGAGTTTCTATTTGACACCTATATTGTACATACAAAATAAATAATTATATTTATCTGTATAGTAAAACTTAAATTTTCTATTAATATTAATTAAAAAAAATAAAATTATTTAAATCAGTTTAATTAAAAAATTGTTAAATGATATAATTTAAAAAATTATTACAATATAAGATGGTAAGCTTATGGTAAGCTTATAAGTGATTAGCGTTATGTATCTATGAGATCGAGTATGGAATTCTGTTTACTCACTTATAATTAAAAAAATTGTTAAAGCACCTTTAATGTATTCCGATCTGAGCTTTCAAGGGACTGATCCGGATCAACCCAGATAGGATCTACCGATGATTAAGTAGTAGCTTCGGCACAAATCCTCTTCGTACAAATCAGCTCCAAAAAGACCGAAATACCTGCAACTTCCGGCAACATCCGCTAAATCGCCCAGGTCAAACCAGTACTTTCTCGTGATATAATTTAAAAAATTATTACAATGTAAGATGGTAAGCTTATGGTAAGCTTATAAGTGATTAGCGTTATTTCAATTATAAATACTAAAAAAGTTATTCAATAAAGAATTTTAAAATTCAAAAATTTTTATTTGTTGTAAAGGTGCGCATGCACACCGCGTGCAATATTTTAATGTATATGAATGACTATTTTGTCCGTGATGTAATTGTATTATTACGATTGTACCATCAGAAGTTTTCCTATAAATAGGGACTTCAGTTATAATGAAAAACACACTGAAACGAATACAGTTTCTCTATTCTCTATAGTCTCAATTCTCTCTAGTTTTATAACACGTTATCAGCACGAGCGCTCTACCTGGTCAGAAAGGTAAGAATATAACAATATATATATGTATATGTATTACATAAAATTAATATATGATACTATTTACATATTACCATTATTCTTGACAAGTTAGGCTTTGCCACAGTCAAGAGTATGTGGTATGAATATACTAAATATGACATTATTTACCATTATTCTTGACAAGTTAGACTCTGCCACAGTTAAGGATATGTGGGAAGAATATACTAAATATGATATTATTTACAGATTACCATTATTATTGGCAAGATGGGCTATGCCACAGTCAATAATATGTGATAAGATGATATTATTAAATTTGCTTATGAATTACTAATTATGAATAATAACTTTAAGTTTTATATAAATAACATTATTACTTATACTTAACACCCACAAATTGGTTTATTCAGTAATGTGGCGTGAGATTTATAACTGCTTATTCTTGTACCCACCGAAAGCTTTATCGAGTAGTGTGTACTGACATTTTTTTTGTTTCATTACTTATATTCATTAAATTATTTACATAATGGCTCGGAAAATTTTTAAGGTAATATACATGATTAATTAGAATTTATAATCATGAGTTGATTAACTAACAAACATTATATCATTAATTTGTTCCCAACGGCTAATTAACGGCTATATTGCAACGGTTATTTTATCAATCTATAAATATAACACTACATTTGATATATTAACACTTATTCCAAATACTAATATATATTCTCCTCAAACGAAAAGAAAAAAATGTTTCATCTACTATTTATAATTACCATTATATTGTTTATTATATACGCTTTGGGAATTTTCACAATGATGTATCAAACTCCTGAATTTATATTTTATGTATTAGGTCTTTGTATAATGAGTTTATTATTTGTTCTTCTGTACGTTTTGGAGAATTAATGATTGTTTATGTAATTTTTTCGAATCTAAGCATTGGTGTTTTATTTTATAGTTATCATGGCAAATCTGGTCAAACTCGAATTTGAAGCTCTTGATATATTTGGAAAAAATTATATTTCATGGACGTTGGATGCCGAAATTCATTTGGCTGCAAGGGGATTGGGAGAAACAATAATCTCCCCAAATAATTCATCAATACAAGATAAAGCTAAAGCAATGATATTTCTGAGACATCATTTGAATGAGGCATTGAAAAATGAATATTTAACTGTGAAAGATCCTGCAGATCTCTGGAAAGCCTTGAAAGAAAGATATGATCACCAGAAAACGGTGATTCTCCCCCGGGCTCGTTATGAATGGATGCACTTACGCTTCCAGGATTTCAAAACTGTAAACGAGTACAATTCAGCAATGTTCCGCATTTGCTCGGTATTGAAATTATGCGGGGAAAACATAACTGATTACGATATGCTGGAAAAAAACGTTGTCCACATTCCACGCTTCAAATGTACTTTTGCAGCAACAATACAGAGCAAAAGGCTTTGTGAAATATTCTGAATTAATTTCCTGCTTGTTGTTAGCTGAACAAAATAATGAGCTGTTGATGAAAAACCATGAATCTAGACCTACGGGATCTACTGCGGTCCCTGAAATAAATACTGTAATATCTAGACAGGGAACTGAAAATAAAAACAGCCAAAATCATGTGCGTGGATATACCTCAGGGCGTGGCCGTGGTCGTGGACGTGGGCGTGGATATGGTCTGGATCGCCAAAGCCGAGGCCACAAATTTCACCGAGGGTATAACTCGGGCCGAGGGTACAATCGTGGACGAGGCCGCAACTATGTCCAAAATTATGAAAGGGGGAGAAATTTCCAGCCAAAATTTGAACAGAACAATGTGACGGAGAATAATAATGAAAATGCATGTTATCGATGTGGAAGGAAGGGACATTGGGCACGAAATTGTCGTGTTCCGAGACACGTTGTTGATAATTATAATGATTCTCAGAAATCAAAAGATAAAAATATAGAAACCAATTTTATGGTTGGGGAATCTTCTGAAAATGATGCAGCACGTGTGGATGATGACTATGGCATCGATGACATATTGAAACTGGATTTTGCCGATGCAGTGTTTGAAGACAGAGATGGAAATGACCAGGAGAATAACTGATGATCATATTTTTTTTTATTGCTTTCTAAGTTTGTTGTATTTGTGTGTGGACTACTTTTATCTGTATTTCGAATTCAATCAATAATAAATGTTGTTTTCTTTTAGATCATGGATCAGTCTCGAATCCAAAATGGAGATATATGTATTGCAGATTGTGCCACTACTCATACTATACTCAAGGACAGAAAATATTTCGTCAACTTGATATTAAATAAAGCAACAGTAAACACCATATCCGGAAACGCAAAGATAATTGAGGGTTCTGGCAAGGCCATATTTTTTATGATGGGAGGTACCAAATTTACAGTAAATGATGCATTATTCTCCCCAAAATCAACAAGAAACTTGTTGAGTTTTAAAGATATCCGAATAAACGGATACCACGTTGAAACAATGAATAAAGGGGGAGTTGAATATCTTTGCATTAACTCAAACAATGTTGGAAATAAATGTGTTTTGGAGAGGTTACCCGCTCTGTCCTCGGGTTTATATTACACCCAGATTAATATGATCGAGACTTATGCTGCAACAAATTCAAAGACGAATAAAATGTTTAAACTTTGACATGATCGACTTGGTCATCCTGGCTCGATAATGATGCGAAGAATTATTGAAAATTCTAGTGGGCATCCATTAAAAAATCAGAGGATATTGCAAACACATGAATTGAAATGTGCCTCATGCTCTCAAAGAAAATTGATAATGAGACCATCACATACTAAAGTCGGACATGAATCACCATTATTTTTTGAAAGGATTCATGGGGATATATGTGGACCTATTCATCCACCTTGTGGTCCATTCAGATATTTTATGGTGTTAATTGATGCCTCTAGTAGATGGTCTCACGTGAGTTTGTTATCCACTAGAAATGTGGCATTTGTTAAATTTTTTGCCCAACTTATTAAATTAAGGGCTCAATTCCCAGATTATACTATCAAAAGAGTCAGACTTGACAATGCTGGAGAGTTTACATCTCAAGCATTTAATGATTATTGTATGGCAGCGGGAATTGATGTTGAACATCCTGTGGCACATGTTCACACTCAAAATGGTCTTGCAGAATCATTGATTAAACGACTGCAGCTTATAGCTAGACCATTGATAATGAGGACAAAACTCCCCACTTCAGTATGGGGACATGCTATTCTGCATGCAAATGATCTAATTCGAATAAGACCAAATGCACACCATACATACTCGCCAATACAGTTGGCATATGGTCGAGAATCAAATATTACACATATAAGAGTTTTTGGTTGTGCAGTGTATGTACCAATTGCTCCGCCCCAACGTACAAAAATGGGGCCTCAAAGAAGGTTGGGAATATATGTTGGATATGATTCTCCATCAATAATCAAATACCTTAAGCCAAAAACGGGTGATGTTTTTACAGCTCGGTTTGATGATTGTCATTTTAATGAAGAGTTGTTCCCCCCCTTAGGTGGAAATGAAAAATCAATTGAGAAACATATTGAATGGAAAACATCATCAATATCATATCTTGATCCTCCCACCAAACAAAGAGAGCAAGAAGTTCAAAAGATCATACATCTGCAGAATATTGCGAATCAACTGCCTGATGCATTTACTGATTTAAAAAGAGTGACCAAATCACATGTACCAGCTGTAAATGCACCTGCTCGAATTGAGATACCAAAAGAAATGGCAAATGACGATATGCTGAATGAATTAAAGACACGCTTAAAACGAGGAAGACCAGTTGGGTCTAAAGATAAGAATCCTCGAAAGAAAAGAGAATTTCATGAATCGAGTTTGAAAACGAATCCAGATGATGGAAAAATTTCGGGACGAAATGAAAATATTGAAATGTCCATCAATTACGCAAACAATGGGAATCTTTGGAAGCGTAATGAGGTCATAAATATTGATGATGCATTCGCATATATGGTATCACAAGAAATTGAGAAAGAGGTTGAGGATCCTGAACCAAAATCTATGATTGAATGTCAGAAAAGACATGATTGGGACAAGTGGAAAGGTGCTATTCAAGCCGAGTTAGATTCACTTAATAAACGGAAGGTTTTTGGACCTATTACCATTATACCAAAAGACATAAAACCTATTGGATACAGATGGGTTTTCGTCAGAAAAAGAAACGAGAAAAATGAGATCACAAAATATAAAGCTCGCCTTGTAGCACAGGGATTCTCCCAGAGGCCTGGGATCGATTATGATGAAACTTATTCCCCTGTTATGGATGCAATTACTTTCAGATACTTGATCAGTTTAGCCATCCATGAAAACCTTGAGATGCGTCTCATGGATGTTGTGACTGCTTACTTATATGGATCACTGGACGCTGACATTTATATGAATATTCCAGAAGGGATTAAAATACCAGAAACACTAAAGTCCAAACCTAAAGAGTTATGTGCGATAAAATTGAAAAGATCATTGTATGGCTTGAAACAATCCGGGCGTATGT